TCAGCTTAAAAGGAGACCATGTAAATCCTTTGGTGCAACGAGTTTTGCTCTGTTTCACATCACCCTAGTGCAGGACTATTGCTTGCAGATGTTTCTGCAGAGCATACAATGCCAAGGGAAAGAATCTGCACTTGAGAAGTAGTTGTTCTGTGAAAATCTTGAGCAAAGGGTTGAATTTATCTTTCCTAAAGATTATGAAGTAGGCCTCCAACTGGACTCACCTCTTGTAAAATGTGGGAAAAGACAGTGTATTTAGATTATTGCAGAGTTGGAGCACATGCTGCTAACTGAGATGCAAATAAGGAATAAACAATGACTTAATGCCATTCCTATTTCACAGAGAACCATAAATATGGGGAGCAAGTTGCTGAGTAAAGCACTAATGCAGCAAGTAGTAGACATGAATCAAGAGATAGTGCCACTTTTATAGGGTAAAAAGGATTCAGGAACAGTCTGACCAAGCAAAGAGATGGGGCTGAGATCAATTGAATGGGAACAGACTTCTTGGACTAAGTGGCCATTCCCAGCCAAATGCTATTAATGAACCTATATAAGAAAAGTAATCTTTCATACGGAGGGGGTGAACAGCATGAAGAACGGTTTCGGTTGGAAAGGACCTTAAGATCATCTAGTTCCAACCCCCTGCCATGGTCAGGGACACCTTCCACTAGACCAGGTTACTCAAAGCCTCATTCAATCTGGCCTTGAACACTGCCAGGGATGGGGCAGCCAGAGCCTCTCAGGGCAACCTGTGCCAGTGCCTCACCACCCTCACAGTGAAGAATTTCTTTCTTATATCTGATCTAAATCTCCCCTGTTTATGTTTAAACCCATTACCCCTTGACCTACCGCTACAACCCCTGATGAAGACTCCCTCTCCAGAATGCTTGTAGATCCCCTTCAGATACGGAAGGCTGCTATGAAACTTAATAGTCTGTGATTTCACAAAGGTGCAGTGAACTAGATACGAAACAGGGATACCATGAAGCAGGTGCTTTGGAGATACCTATAGTTAAGTGAAATCAAACAGAAACCACTGCAGCCGAAGTCAACAGCGCAAGCAGTATGCAGAAATGAAGTGGGAAGCAAAGGTGACTTCGAAGACTATATGTGGACCTCCTCTTTTTGGGATCTGTCCAGTGGAGCTGGGACAAAAAGTCTCTTTAAAAGATTTTGAGCTTTCATAAAGTTCTTCATCTGAATCAGGATGAAAAGTAAATATCAGAAAATGCTGAAGGTACTATGAAGCTTCACGGTGTAGGCCAAACAAAACACTGGGTTTTAAACTGTGATTCATTTCAATCTTTGTCTTTTTGCTTTACAAACCTTTTCAGTATGAAGTAACTAAAACTGAGAAAATAATGTGCACATTTTCCCATACAGAAGCTGTCAGAACTGACTATGTTAACTATTTTCAAACTGATGTAGATGAATTTTAAATTGAGAGTTTGGATGTTAAAAAACCCAAACATCCAAAACCCAAACACTAAACAGCAAACCAATACTCTTGTAGTACATGATACCATTTTGGACAACTTCTCATTTTCTGAGCATAGCCCAGGAATGCTTCACTGGAAAATTTCCCAGCTATCACTGCTGGCTGCTGCATTGCAACAAATGGTGCCAACAGCCCAGGTTGCACAGCACACAGGACTCTCATTCAGTAGCTGTCTGACCTGGCTGTGCCCTCTGAAGTACATGCCAGCTGCATATATGCCTTTGCCAGGGCTGACTTTTCATAACGCCTTTGCCCACTAAGGCGATATGAAAAGGACTTTGCTGGAAGGAAGCACCGGGCCACCTTAAAAAACATCTGTAGAGGTATTTCTAGTAAAAAACATGGATGTAAAATAATACAGGTTCAAGTGATTGCTGTTTGCACTTGCCTCCTGGAAACTAAATCCATGTCATCTTCTTTTCTTTCTGTCCTACGGATGTAAAGGCACAGCTACTGTTTTATTCCTGGTTTGGTTATCGGTACATCCGCTAAATAAATCAGAATATTTCATTTCCTTTACTGGTATTATTTTTCTCTGCTTTTTCCCAGGTTTGAGCGACTTTACAAGGTACATGGGGAGCAGTGAAGAATCAAGCCCTGTGTTCACACAGCCTGTCAGATTCTCCTTATCTTTCCACTTGCTGACAAAGGTATACCAAAGCCAGTCGGAACTGGCTGCATTAGTGATACGCAATCTCTCATCCCAGCCAAGTACAAATGACCCATTTATGTCGCCCTTGAGAGGTTTCTGAGGATTATTGTCTGTATCCTGAAAAGAAAAAGTGAAACCTAATGACCGGGGAACGTGTGTGGTGTGGGGGAAGGACGTCCCTGCCAGGTGGAGGTGGCTGCAGCCAGGCCCTGCGGGGCTTGGAAAAATCTGTCAAAGGCAGCTTCCCTTCCTAAATGCTGCCAAGAAGAAGGGCCTTCTGAGCAGGGTGACATTCCACCAGCGTTTGGCTGCCACCAGGTTTAATTTCTCTGTGTTTTTTTCAACCTGGTTTAAAACCGAAATATCGTATCCAACAGAAATTTGGCCTGTTTGAAATGCAAAGCTGAGAATGGGAAGGAAAGTCCTGCCATGGTGGAGTGTAACACTGCTCTGTACCCTCCGGGCATGGGAAGGAGAAAAGAATTAATGGAAGTAGGGAAACAGGAGAATGATAATGTGTAAGATCTTCAGGTTCCCCAGCAGTGCTTGGCATATACACTGGGTCACTCCTGGACTAGCAAGGATCCGTACCTTCAGTAAGGGTGGTCATGTGGGGAACACACAAACCCTGATCACACCACCAGGCTCTGTAGCATCCTTTCCAGCTGATCTGTGCCTTCCCTTCTCAGGGGACCCCATGGATTTGCACTTATAAGGTAAAGGAGAGTTACCTTTCCCCTGTCTCAGAAGGATAGATTCAGTTGTGAGGGAGTCGCAAGAGCACAGACATAAGCTGCTAATAGCAGGATCACAGGACTTGGAGATGAAAGGCTGCCTCAAGGCAGGATCATAGATGAAACTGCATGTACATCATTCCTGAGAGGCTCTCACTCTTGGCTGTAGTTAAAAATCACAGTTTACGAAGACTGAAGTTTTCACAGATGATCTGTGCCACATCTCCACTGTTACTGTTAGGAAGCCTGTAACAAACGTCTAGCCTGAATTTCTCCTTGCTACAGTTTAAGCTTATTGCTCAACATATCCACCAAGAATATGGACAGGGCAGTTATCTCCTGTTCTCTTTTTGTCAGCCTTTCTGTTTCTGGAGGATGTTACCATGCTACTCTTCAGTCTCTTTTTCCTCAGACAAAACGCCAGTTTATTCAGTCTTACATCATAAACCATGTTTTCACAAAGCAGGACATATTTTTTACGTTTGTCTTCCTGTTTTTCCTTCATCTCTGTTCCCTCATCTTCTCTCTACCTGATACTTTATCTGTCACAGAATCACAGAATAATTTGGGTTGGAAGAAACCTTAAAGATCATCTAATCTCAACCCCTGTGCCACAGGTAGCAACACTTTCCACTTGACCAGGTTGCTCAAAGCCCCGTCCAACCTGGCCTTGAACACTTCCAGGGATGGGGCAGCCACAGCTTCTCTGGGCAACCTGTGCCAGTGCCTCACCACCCTCACAGGGAAGAATTTCATCCTAATATCTAATCTAAATCTAAATCTAAATCTGAATAATCTCTTACAGCAGCAAGCAGCAGCATATCTTCAGCACAGCCCCAGGCAAGGCAGCTGCCCTTGCCGTTGCCATCAGTTTCCTGAGGGTTTGCATGATTTTTAAAATTATGGTAGTTTTTTGCAAAAAAAAAAAAAACTAACGGCATCAGTGTGAAAATCTGAGCTAGTCCTGGGCAAGTGTCAAGGTCTCCTAAGAAGCTCACGTTTTTCTGGTCATGGGTTTGTGTATAATTAGTGATCACAGGCTTCAGAGTTGTCATAAGGCTGGGGGATATAAACACAAAAAACGCTAGGTGTTGTTCTGTGTCTCACATCCACAAACCAGTATTGTCAGTCTTAACACTAGAGAGTCCTTCTAAGCTGAGGGCTCTCATAACCTCTTGGTTTTTCTATTTGTGAGGTTTTTAATGTCTTCATGACAAAATCAGCTCATGGGTATATTGCCCAGCACTGGGCCCAAACATATGCAATATCTTCTGAACCCGTGTGTTAAGATTCTCCAGCCATGGCTACACACACTTGAAAGGCAAAGTTAATACCTTTAAGTTAATCAAGGGATCCTTATTTATGTAACCTATTGCAAAATAATGAATTCTTACATAATTTTTTTCTTTAGTTTGTTAAAAAAATACTGTGTAAGAAAACCTCTGGTCTGGATACTGTTCTTTTCAGTGCAAAGGACAGATTGTTGTCATTCCTGGGTAATTCTGCTCTCTGGCAAAGAAGCCCTTCTTATCAAGTGCTCTGATGTACAAGTGCCTCAGGGCTTGTTCACATGGGAAAAGTCAGTGGCATTATTCATACCTTTCCACTGCAGAATATGAGTACCCACATGGGAATTCAGCAAGGGTATGACTCTAGAAAAGTCCTAAGCACCTTTATACAATTTCTGCCCAGAAAGATAGCTATAGCACAGGTAATACAACACACCAGAAAAGATGCACCTGGGGACATCAGAAAAGACTGCTTTGTACAAAAGCAACTCTTGACTTGTGTGGCAATACTTTTCTCTATTTCAGATAGTTTCTTCACTCTGAGCACTCTGTCCCTACTTAAAAAAAACCTCATTCTACCAAGAAATTAAAACAAACACAATGCATGTACTTATCCTCACACCCCCACCTACTATTCTAATTGATATTAGCTTTACTGCACTTACACTTCTGTAAATGCATCCTCACTCTGAGCACTGCACTCAGATGTTATCTGAGTAGTGACTACAGCCCTTGGTAAGCAAGCAATGTGCTGAATGCTGATAGAGGGGGCTAGGGCTAGCTCAGGAAAATAAGCAAGAACAGAACCCAGGTAATATAAAACAATTTCAGACTTGAAAGGCTATTAACAGGACGTGCTGCACCTGCAACCATGAATTTCATTTGCATAGGAGAAAAACAATCTGTGCTGTAAATGTAATACAATGGGTAGGAGGGATGGAAGAAAGGAGAAAGAAAACACAGACTGCCTCATACTCAGTGTCCCTTAGCAGTGGGCTGGGATGTGGCCTTTGCAGTTCTGCCTTTTGTGTCTACTCTGCTCTTTGCAGCTCTTGCTGAGAGACCCGAAGCAGGTGGTATAGCTCTGAGAGAGATTTCAGAGTCCTCTGGTGCCCAGCAGCATCCATGTGCCCCGGCTCGGCACACTCCTGCACAGCCTTCTGCAGCTGCAACTGCCGGGGGAGGGAAACCAATGGTCTGCGGAGACTTGGGGAAAACCAGCGACGGAATATTTTGTCACAAATTACCTGAGGAAAGGAAAAGGACAGAGTGTCGTCTTTTCAGGAGCTGCAGCTAATGTACTGTAGCAAAATGTCGGCTGGATCCAGAATGCCTCCAGCCATTCAGACAGGAAGGGATAGAAAAGGAGCATCCACGAAGGATGAGGAATTGCTCTTCTCAGACTGCTCTCACACTTATGCATGACCAGTGGGAAGGGTGTAGAAGAAGCAGGCAAAAGGCTGCCAAGCTATGGACCCCCAGCCTCTTCACTGTGCCATGGCCTCCCACCAGCACAAGCTGAGTGAGCTATTACACAACTCACCCCAGGCCAAGAACCCCATGGATTCCCCTTTCCACTACATCCACGTACTACATCTGTAACGTGGAGAATAGCAGCCACTGCTTACACCCAGGCAGCCCTGACTTCGCCATTAGTGAAGACAGTAATGTCCCTACTTCCTTCACTCTCCTATTTGAGGCATGGGGCTACCAGCTACACAAAACCATGTCAAATGAACACTAGTGAGTATAAAGATCTGTTTGTGTGCCCCAAGATGGGATTTCTGAGCAGGACTGGCACTTACATGGCCATGTTTAAAAACATGCCTGTCTTCGTCTCACAGTCTCACGGTACATACAATACATTTTACAGTCAGTGTGACTTTAAAAGAAATGGACGCATAAAGCAGCTGTGTCTACTCACTTGCAAGTTGTTATTGGCTCTCTGTGCTCCACATTTTCTGATTTTCAGATTGCACTTTGAAAAGCAATCAAAAAAATTACAGTCTTCATCTCCTGTGCAGTTCTGTTCAAGGATGTCCCTCATTTTGGGTTCAAAAAAGGCCATATCCACATCAATGGCCACCACCTGTGGATCAAAACAACCCATCAGATCCAGCACAGCACAGCTTGCAAGACAGGGCTGAGCAAGCATTCCTTGCTGCTTGCTTTTGGAAATGCTGTGCTGAGAGCATCTGCCAATGGGGAAGTGGGATCACAATGAAAGGACTTTTTTTTGCTTAACTGGGCTGTGCTAGTCTCATAAATACCACTTTTTAAACAAAACCAGCCAATGCTTATGACACCAGGAAAAGCAAAATGATTTGTGGCTGGTGTGCATCCCTGAGGTCAACTCTATTGGGACTTCCAACTTGAAGATTAATTTACTTCTTGTTGCAGTGTATGCAGATGGCACCTCAACATTTTAATTATATGATGGTGCAAAATTATCCACAGGCCAGATGGTATCATTTCACAATCCACCATTCCAAGTAAACCCTTGACTTTACCACTGTGGAGGGGAGCAGTGGGATGCACAGTATTACCTGCATTTGGTACAGCTCCTGCAAACCTGCCATTGCCTTTGGTGGGCTTGAGTCTGTTTAGCTGTAGAAAGAGATCCCTGAGGTTGTTGAAAGTTGGGACTGGCTTTGCCTGGTCCTGTTTCTATGGTTTGACTCATTTATTGTGCATAGTTCTTTTCTGGTTGTCCAGAAACACAACAGAGTCAAGCCAGCAGTTGGTCTGAGCAGAAAAAGCAAGGACTGAAGGGATCAACCACTTTTCTCACCCTGGCACAAAGCTTGCTAAACAGTGACCACACAGCACAGAGAGGTCTGCAGGGCTGCTGCTCATACTAGGTTTGGGACCACTCTGGGAATGAAGGGCTGTAGCCTCAGTTTCTGCCAAGTGCCACTTCACCCATGAATACTTCCCTTAAGAAAAATCACAGCAATAAAGAGGGAGAGAAAGGAAGCCAGTAATGGGATGGCAGCTGCTTGATGTGAGACAAGCTGTGGGTGACCACAGCGAACTCAGCCTGCCTTCAGCACGATGGATGGATGCAGCAACCAGTGTAGGTTCAGAGCTGCACTTAACACTTGACAGCCAGGGGCAGAGACACTCTTTTGCAGCAAAGCAGACATATCTTGGTGGGGGGAAATGTCTGAGACCCAGGCAAAGCAGAGTTACTCAGGCTCAAACTGTAGTCTCTTATTTTAGGATTCAACCTCCCAAATAACAGGGGAAGCTGAACTGTGTGGCTGGAGCAGCATCCGGATCAACCACAGGAACAAAAGATGTCTGGTCTGGTAGAAGGCCAAATAAACCTTCCACAGGCAAAAGAAAGAACACAGTCTAATCTTTATTTTATTCTACTCCTTTTTGCCTGCGGAAAAAGAGATGAGGCATAGCTTAAAAAAAAAAGTATTTTTAAGTTTCTTGGAGAGCTTGCTAATGACACAGCCTAAGGAATTTTACATGTTTGGACAGGCAATTTCTTCTTTTCTTTTCTTTACTTCCTTAAGTTCTCTGCAGTTTTGCTGCTCACTTCTTTGGAAGGTTTCTCCAGTCCTAGGGTTGCTGCATCAGCTCCCAGGTGGGGTTTCTGCCAGCACTGAGCACTTTTGACAACCTGATTGATTGCTCCTCCAGGAAAACCAGCCCTGGTTCCCCAAAGTGCTGCTGCCAAAGGGTTCAGTGTTTTCACTGAAGTTCATCTGTTACAAAAATGTGTGGGCATCCAGCCAGACCCTGTGAAGATAGATTTGGATGACATTCTACCTATAAACAGCTATGTTTTGGTAGGGTTTGTTATGATTGTAATTGATGATGAAAATACCTAAGGAAATGCAGGAAGGATGCAACTGTCTTAAAGTCATGTTTAAGGTGCTGTAATATTTCTAACAGACCACTGTAGAAACACTGAACCCAGGACATTCACCCAGACCTCTTCCCAACTCTGTAGCTCCATGGCAGCTTAAAATTCACCTGGATGATCTACCAGGCAGCGATCTCTCCCCTTTGTGCTGCAATAACAAGTAAAGGCTGGAGTGAGGGCTGGAGGCTTATCCCCACCATTTGAGAATAATCCTCAAAGTAAAACTATTGCACTCCAGGCACATTTCTTTGAGCATTAGCATTCTTATTACTGGGATGAGGAATAGTGGTACTATTATGGGTGTTTGTTATTATCCTATATGGGGCACAAGAAAGGGAAAAAATTGCTTGAAACAAACATAAGGGACAAAACAGAGACTGCCTTTCTGTGTCCCTAGCCTGGAACTGTTTGGTAAAACCATCTAGAGTTTCTGCTTCTCACTCTCCTTTCTTCACCAATCAGATCTCTCTGTCCCATCCTGGCTGTGTGTATCTCCTGTCTCCCAGCCCAGTGGGGTGATAATGGGTGATATGAACAAGCTGTAAGTGATATACAACTGGGAGAGCCATGTATGAGCAGCAACTCACCTTTTTCCTTGATGAATTCTCCTAGAAAGTATTAAATTAGAATATTTTTCTACACCAGAAGGTGACTGCCATCTCTTTGGACCCCAGAACTCACAGGAAGATCCTGGAGAAGCAAGCCTTACCAAAAGGACCCATAAGGAAAGATGTATCCAATATTCTTTCTCTTTTCCTAAATGAAACCTCTTTTCCTCTAAGTTGGTTGTAAAACAGATGCTCTGGTGTGTGCTCACCCACATGCAGTCACAGTCCTGCTTAACTGAAAAGGATGGGCAGAGCCTGCCATGAGAAATCCCTGCTGTACCCCACTCTAAGTACGAGTACGCTTGTAGTTTCTTGCTGTAGCTCCTCACATTCCCTGTTCAGCTGCTGTATTGCACCTGAATAAACAATGGGAGGGAAGGGAAAGGTGAAGGAGAAGTACTCTAATTGCTCTTCATGGCTGTACTTTTAGGCAATGTTTGTCTAGTACTCTGAAGATGATGTTATATTAACACTCAGTGAGTACTGAAAATAGTATTCGCTCCAAGTGCAGAAACTCCACTGATGTCACCGCAGATTGTGAGGCTAGTTCTAATACTTACTTACGGCATAGTGCCTCCAATCCCTATACACAATTCCCACTGAAACCAATGGAATTTCTGTCTGCAGAGTGACTGCAAGATACCTGCAGCAACGTGGTGCTGAGCTACATCACTACTTGGAAACATAGCTATTGAGGTTCGAGTTACAGCTGAGAAGTCAAAGAGTAACAGTGCCAGGAAGTTTCATGTCACTGTCCTTGGATCATTTTCAGACTAGATAAGCTGAACACTAAAGCGTGAACGTGTGGGTTTGGATAGCGGAGTTCCCCTCTGTGTCAGGACAGAGAATGCAACCTTAGCTTTCAAACTCAGTTTTCCCTTTCAGCACCACTTACTACGAGAAATAGTTGCTGTGATTCAAATTACATCTCCATGTACAGCTTTTGATATCTCCTTGCCTTCAGGAGGTACCCCTCACCACACCCAAAGGACCCTGTAAGTACCAGTGCCATTGAGGAGGTGAAGCAAACCAGAACTGAGCAAGCCGTTCTCTAAACGAGCAGCAGGATGTAGTGCTCTAACATGTGGCTGCACAAATTACAAAGAGGAGAAGCAGCAAAGAATCTCCCCTGTCACTTGTAAATGTACTGGCTTTGTAAAAACTTGGCCAAAAGCCGTACAGAAAGTGTCATTTTTACATTTCTAGTGTCATTTACACTGGAATTTGACCTCAAACTGCTGCAACACCATCCCAGAGACCCAACTTACCGTGAGATCATGCCTGATAGCGAAGTTTTCTGGTTTGATGTCACACAGGTGAAGTGGGTGAGAGAAATCATTGTCAAAATGCTGCACCATGTCCAGAAAGCTGAGTGCAATGTCAATAATGGCTCTCACCCTGCTTCTGTGGCCAGCGAAGGTGGGACTGACCACATTTTCCAAGGGAAAAAGAGTTTTGTGCCAGGCATGTCCAGCTGTGAGATACTCCACAGCATAGAAGTGTCCACAGGAGCCAATAATTCGTAGCACATGTTTGCTGAAGTCCTGCAGCAAACTGAAGTAGATATATTCTTCTTGCTGGAGCAAGGACCACATGCTGGCCACCTGCGCTTTCCAGTGTGGTCCCTTCTTCCTTGTCCACAGGGGCCCCATGGTATTGTTAGACAGTTCTAGCCCCAGGACATTTTTGATCTCCAAGGCTACCATCAGCAGAAGCTCTGTTTCAGGAATATCCTCTGTTTCTACCTCTTCTAGCATGCTGAGATGCTGGTAGCTGGAGAAGATTTCCTTCTTGGATTTCAGGATAATGGGCTGGCCTCTCCAGTCAGCCTGGATGACCTTCTTACCTCTGTCATAGTAAAGGCAGTGTTTATACACGAGATTCTGTGCCACACACAGGTCTTCACAGAGGTCGCCAGTCAGGGCTCCACTGCTGTAGTCAAGACACTGGAGAGAAAGAGCAGAATATTCATAGCAGGACCATATGCCCATGGACCACACAGAAGAAAGGCACATGGTCAGAAACAATTCTAAGCTTGAGAGGCTTGCAGCTGTACTGCAAGAACACACCTCCTACAACCACTGGGTGATTGAATGTTTTCTCAGAAGTCTATAGAGACCTTTTACTAGCAGGGGTCTTGCTTCAAAACAGGAATTCTTGGGATGGTGAACAACAATTCTTGACACGTATGAATTCACTGAGACAACCTTTGAACACACTTTTCTGCGCTATGTGAGGTTCTGGGCTGTAACACTTTAAGGCACAGGAGATAATTTCCAGCGTAATGCAGGACTTCTGCGAGGTTCAGGGCAGCATAACTTAGACATCCCCCCTTAAACTACAGAAAAATCCATGGGTAACTGGATTGCTGGGATCTCCCACAGCCCTGCATGTTTTAGCCTTGCACTCAGCATGCCCTGAATGAAGCTGAAGTATGAACCTCCCTCTGCAACACCACGAAGCACAGAGGTTGCGCTCAATGCCTCTTGAACCAAGAGCTTTCAGAATTTTTAAGTATGTAAATGCTGTAGAACAAAATGACTTTTCAGTTCTTATGTGCAATTATCAGAAGTGATTTTCCAATATTAATTGCTTCAATACTTATTTTTATTTTAACTGGGAAAAAAAAACCATCCTGTGGAAACATGGGAACTGCTGCTTGATGGTCACCGCAAACTCATACAAGAACTGCAAGGAATCCTTTACCAGTCCTTCCCCTGACCCATAATTGTTTCCATAGCATCATTTCCAAAAGTGTAGGCAGTCAATATATTCCTATGGGCATTCAGAAGTGCAGCTGCAGGGACTGCTTTGGGCGAACCAGTAGAGGGGATGAACAGAGGTCCCTAGTGGAAGGGGAATAAACTGTGATGATATAGAAAGCCAAACATCTGGGAGGCAGCTTGACAGTGTCAGCCTTCCTCACTGCTTTCTAGCATTTGAACCTTCATTTAAACAAGTTGGCAGCTCCCTGTGCATGTGGAGCACTTGCAAAGGCTGCCTGAGTCCCACCCTATTTGTGACTTGCTGTTACATACACAAGAAACTTGATGACAAAACACAAGTGATGTATTTACTTAGGACAGACTCTAAGATGTGCGCCAGAGGAATATGTTCTGATGCCAGGCAATATTCAGAGCCGAATCTTAAACAGGACACTGGGGAATGGGTGGAGGATTAAGTCCAAAATCCAGGAATGGTGATAAATTGACTAAAACTGCTTACTGAGGGCAGTTCAGACATTTATACTCTGATGATCTCATGGGCCAAATAAGAACATTCAATTCCAGCAAGGAGAGCCAGGTAAGCAGTCTTTAGCACAAATACCCTGAACCTGTGTCCAGGGTGGTATATATGTGTGAAAGTCATTCATCTGCCTGCACATCCACATCAGGGTGGCCCAGCAGACTTACTGGGCTGTCCACAGGCTTCAGAGTATGCATATGAATCTTCTTGCATTTGAAAATCTATTCCTATGAATGTAACACAAACTTATGCTCCCTTTTTAAGGAGGAAATATGATTTTCCTGATAGCAGTTATTACTATCTGGAACCCTGGAAAGTGATTTTAGAAAGATTACAAACTGAAGGAATTTTGGGAGTTTTCTTTGGAGCATAAGTATAATCTCATTTAAAATCACTGTTTTCCTATTGAGATCACAACCTAACTCTTCTTCTGCTACAGTAAGAGAATATAGGACTTAATCCTGTAGTTGAATCCACAGGGATCAACACTTGCCCTTGTGCACAATTTTACTGTGGTCCATCAAGTTCACTCTTAGATGGCCCACATGCACGGAACCTCTGGCATCTAGAAGAAAACATGCCCAGAAGACATGTGATATGTAGTCAAACATGTGAACACACAGCTTATTTTCTCATGTTGCCATCACATCAATTTTAATGACATTAATGAAAAAAATAGTTGTGGAAAAACAGTCTCGCATTTCCCAGACATAGGAGATGAGTCATTCTTGAACCTGGATGCAGTTTAGGACTTGTCTGCTGTTCCACTTGAGCCCATAAGACTTTGATTATTAACCTAGTATCTAACAAACAAGTCTCTGAATCGGATTCTTCTTACACTGAACGTGTGTGGTGTTTTGCAAACTGGGACCTGTGAAAGGAGACTTGACCAAAGATTTCCTGGTCCCACAGTGGTGAAACACAGATCAGCCGTCCAGAAGTAACGTTCTCTGCTGGTCACCATGCGAGCAAGAATTTCATAAAGGCTTCCTCAAATAAGCAATCAAGAAGTTTGAATAATCTTCAAGAGGTCTCTCTACACTCGCAAAATGTGGTGAGTTGTGAGTCACTCAATAGCTTTAAAAATCTTCTCAGCTTTCTGTTCACTGTAACCTAGAAAAGACTGACTGCACCTTCACATCCTCACTATCCCCCCCAGTATTCCAGGTTTAAGTGGTTTATATTTGCCATAAGCATAGTACACTGGGTTAGCTTAGCTCAATCCCACAATAATCCTTACTTCTGCAGCCCCTGGATGATTTCTGTGTTTTTATTCACTCCCTGTTTCTTCTCTTAATTTTCCTGTCCTTCAGCCTTAGAAGGACAGACATCAGAACTGAATGCTGTTGTCTAGTGCCACAAAGACAGCCAACAGCCCTTCCTTAATTCTTCTTTTTGGAGACATTCTGAGATTATATCAGCCTTTTAAGGCACAGTCTGCACTGGTAGTTCATGCTGAATCAATTATTTGACCCCTATGTCCTTTCAAAAGTCATAGAATTTCACAAGACAGTCTTCTATCCTATCGGCATAGCTTGTACTCCTGTGGTTCCTGGTGTACTAGCTTGCATTTTACTGTACACATTTACACATTTTGGTGGACTGAAAACATTTAACCAGGTGATTCAGATTACCCTGTCATGAAAAGATGGTCTGTTTATTATTTACCAATCCAGGAACCTTTGCACTAACTGCAAGCTTTAGCATACAAGATTTTGTATCATCACGATGACTGCTGATAAAATGAATCAATTCCCCCCCCAAAAACCTTTCCAGAAGTGGTCCTTCACACTGTTATTCCTGTCTTAATAACTGCATTCTGAGTTCTGTCGATGAGATAGTTTTAAATCTACCTAACGAGTGCCCTTTCAGTGCTGCTAAGTGCCAGATTTTTAAAACTAAAATATGAAAGTGATAGCAAGCCAAAGGCCTTATAGACAAGCAGCTATACTGCACAAAAATGCAAACACAAGCATGGTTTAGACTTCATAATCTGTTTCTGTTTAAAATTGCCTACATAATTTTGACTATCCTTGTACACTTATCAACATAAGTTAAAAAAACCTGGGTTTAAATTAGCGTAAACTTTTAAGTTAATGTAAACCCAGCTAAGGATTTATATAAGTTTAAATAACTTACTGTACCCTCATCAGTCAGGCCTGAGACTGACTCCTGCTTTGTCATCAAGTACTTCTCCTACGTAAATGCAATACTGAGCAAGGCTTTGGAAGGCATCAGAATTAATTTATTTCTCAAGAGAAAACAGAAATTGATTGCTATGATTAAGTGTGTTCAGTGTGAATGAAGATGAGGCAGGTGTTAGGAAAGAGTAAGTGATATTTTTTGAGAGTTAAAGCTGGTCTCTGCAAAATGCCTAATTCTTCTTCAGTCTTTCCAGTGTAGTACACACACAGCTGCACAGATGTACATTTTGCTCAGAAGAAGGAAATCTTCAGAAAAAACACTTGCAGGTGTATGCAACCATGCAGTTTTCACCCACTTGCTCAAAGGACGTCATCTTATCTCCTACTGAAAACATGCCAGATGACAAGTAAAATAGTTTCTCTTGGAAGTCAAATTTTGCTTAATAAAAGGCATGAGACTCAAGCCATCAGATAATTTGTTTCACAGATCATTTGCACTTTCTACAACTGCGGAACTCATGCTGTGCTCAGAAGATGTATAAAGACTTATTTTGGGGCTGTTGAAGATGAGCTCATTTTCTGATCATTCCGCTAAAAGGACAATACCATTCGAACATCATCTGGGAAAACTGTTGCTTGCAAACCTTAACGATGATGTTGAAAACTCACCTATGTAAATATTTACATAGGTGAGCACAGCAATCACAGCTACTCTTCCTCTGGAAGGAGGGTCTGAAACTGAGCTGTCACACAGTGGCAGAAACAACTTTCCAAGCTTGTGCCTAAACCTGATCCCTGCCAAGGCTTTTGAAGTCCTGACTAACGCTCTCCAAACTGAAGAATGGCATCAAGTCTCTGTGCATTTGTTTGCTGGACAGTGCGTTAGCAAGGGCCTGGACTGCCCTGAGCTTGGTGGTTCTGTGAACCTCCATACCCCTGTGCCCTTCCCAGCCATGGAAGGAGCGGGCAGGATTCATTCCTTCAGCTGCAGTCCCAAGCTCAGCTGTACTTCAAGACGACTGTTGGGGTAAAGAAACTGGATCTCATGGCCACTAAAAACATGCTGTCAGGACTGCTGCCTATAGCTTCTCTCCCTTCATTACACAGAATTTTAGGGAAGCATAAAATTAGTTGTTGCTTGCTGAAGTAATAGATTATTTAGATTAAGATTAAGCTTTATATTGGTATTTAGATTTAAGGAAGAAATTCTTCACTGTGAGGGTGGTGAAGCACTGGTACAGGTTGCCCAGAGAAGCTCTGGCTGCCCCATCCCCGGCAGTGTTCAAGGCCAGGTTGGACGGGGCTTTGAGCAACCTGGTCAAGTGGAAGGGGTCCCTGTTCATGGCAGGGGGGTTGGAACTAGATGATCTTAAGGTCCCTTCCAACCCAAACCATTCTGTGATTCTATGATTTAATTTCCATTGGCATTCCTCCCTTCCCACCTAACCACTGCCACTACAAATATCTTAATTAAGAAACAAAATTAAACTCAGAAGTCAGTCCTCTTCTCAAAGCGTTTCCTGCACAATTATAAATCTGTTCCTTTCTCCTTTATC